TGAATATTAGAAGCGTATTAGTGTGTTATGTGTAAGCCAGGTTAAAGAGATGGGTCTTTAATCTAGATTTAAACTGCAAGAGTGTGTCTGCCTCCCGAACAATGTTAGGTAGATTATTCCAGAGTTTGAGCGCTAAATAGTCAAGTCAAGTTTGTGTGTAGTGTGTGAGTGTGTGAGTGAGTGAGTGAGTGAGTGAGTGTGCTTGTCCTGTGTATGTGAGTGAGTGAGTGTGTGTTTGTGTGTGTGTGTTTGTCCAGCGTGTGTGTGTACTGTTGTGTGTGTGTGTTGAGTGTGTGTGTGTGTGTGTGTGTGTGTGCAGTGCTGGGAAGGTTACTTTGGAAATGTAATAGGTTACAGATTACAAGTTACTCTATTTAAATTGTAATAAATAGTTAAACTATTTCAATAACTTTATTAAAGTAATGTAACTCATTTCATTCAAACATTTATAGCAGACAGGGTTAACCTTACAGTAGTATTTAACACTGATTACTGCTGACTTTTAAAATTCTTCATCACTTGAATTAAGATTATAAAAATATAAAAATTTTATTTTAAAGCACAGCCACCACACATCCAGACTTAAGCACCTGTTTTTACTTTGAGATTGCTGAGGTTAAAGACAGATTTAAAATCATAAGATATAGTTTAAAAACAGTATCATAGCTATAGTGTTTTTAAAATCTAAATCATTGCATAGCTATGACGGGAAACACTGGCATCTAAAAATGCCTTGGGGAAAAAACTGTTAATCTTAAAAAAAAATAAAGCATATAACCTACATAAACCTAAATAGGAAATAAAACAGTTATGGAATAAGCTTGCATCCTATTCTGTGTCCTAAACTCCTGATGTGTGTGTGTGTGTGTGTGTGTGTGTGTCTGTGTGTGTGTGCGTGCGTGTCTGTGTGTGTGCAGGTAAAGCGCGGGGTTTCTTCACAGCGGGTGATATGGTGATTGTCGTCACCGGCTGGAGTCCTGGATCTGGACACACAAACATCATGAGGGCGGTCACTGTGCCCTGAACCACAGCCTCTGATTCGCTGGAGTCACTGATTGACAGTCCTGTGCTAATTAACTCTGATTATGTGTGATTTCTGCTTCACTGACACCCTTCATATGTCAATCATTTCTATAGCAATAAATTAATGAAATAAGCCATGTGTGCTGTTTTAATTTTCCTGTGATGGAAACTGCTAACACACGGTTTCTCCTCTTGCTCTTCCATTGTTTCTCTCTGTAAACATGCACTAGACTGGCATTTTGTGTTCACATCTCACATCTTCTGCAGCGTCTCACATGTTACAGCGTTCTAAAAACACACAGCTCTAGTGTTTTTAAATTCAAAATGTCAACTAACCAAATTTTACTAGTAAAAAAAAAAAGTTTGAAAACTTAAAGTTCTGCCTTCATTTTTTAAGTATAATCAAATTGGCTGTACAAATAATTTAAACTTAAATTATATTAAACTGACTTTAAAAATCAAATTGAAACTGAACTTAAAAAACAAAGTTGAAATTGGTTAAATTAATTTGATGAGTTAAAGTAATAGAAAAACATGTTTAGTTATTATTAATCATATACATAATAACGCTTCCTCCAGTGAAAAAGTGTTCTTGTGTGAATCAGGAGAGAAATCTGCACAGATCAAGCAGCGTTTAAACAGCTCTAAACTAATATGTGGCTGGATTTTGATGTGAGAGACAACAGCAGATGCACTTTTTCACTGGAGGAAGAGTTATTATGGATTATAGACTCATATTTTAGATATTAAAAGTGTCTTAATGCTGGATTAGTTTCAGCTTTTGTCTTCTCCAGATGTTCACTGATGGACTGGAGTGCTGTGGATTACTTGTGGATTATTGTGATGTTTTTATCAGCTGTTTGGACTCTCATTCTGACGGCACCCATTCACTGCAGAGACACTGATGCAATGCTACATTTCTCCAAACCTGATGAAGAAACAAACTCATCCTGATCTCGGATGACCTGAGGATGAGCACATTTCCAGCTAATCTTGATTTGTGGGTGAACTATTGCTGTGAAGCTGCTGCTGGTGTGACGTGATGATGGTGCAGCGGGAGTCAGAGCTTCCATAAGAGCTTTAACTGTGTGAGAGCAGCTTTATGATCAGGTGTGCAAGAGTTCATCTGATCAAAGTCAAATGCAGTTCCACAGTGTTTCAAAGCATCTTAACACAATCACGATGTTAATGTGTATAATATCTTCATGCCTTATAGTTGCATTTATCAGATTAGAGCTGGACGATAATGTAGTTACATTTTTTCATAGACTTATATATCCTAATATAGAATGTGACTGAAAATGAGCTTCATAAATGTTCCAGCTCTAGATGTGATTGTGTATAAACCTCCTCTGATGAATTCATCATGCGTGTTTGAGCTTTTGAATATTTAATTATTTATGAAAAGCTCTTTCTAAGAGTGAGATCATTTATTGACATCCAGATTGAATGTGAATATGAGGCCGTGTTGTTTGTGTATCTGGCTCTCATTATGATTGTACATTTCTTAATTGGCTTTAGCTGCTCAGTGTCAGAGAAACAGACATCAGTGTCTATAACAGCTCTCTCTCTCTCTCTCTCTGTTTGAATCATGGTCTTGCTTTTCATTATTAGATAGGGGTCAGTGCTTCCACCAGCCCTCTCTCTCTCTCTCTCTCTCTCTCTCTCTCTCTTTCTCTCTCTCCTCCCGCCTCCGTGTCGTCATGGTGACGCGCACTCATACCTGAGCACGCGGGTGACAGGGATGATGATGATGATGATGATGCTGCTGCCATGGCGACAGACCTTCACGCGCTCACACATTGATTTCATATTTATTTAATACCACGTTGGTCCTTCCGTCACGCGGGATCCGGAATCCGACGCTGCGAGCGCGTGAAGCTCAACAAGTGACAGGGATGAACGCGAAGGAGCGACGCGACGCGCGCTGGATAAGCGCCTGATTATCGCGCGTTTCAGAAAGAATCACTCAGCTGCGGCGCGTTTCTCATCCGATTCTCCTGTTGCGCATTAGATGATGATGATGATGATGATGCGCCTTCACGCGTCTGACTGACCTGTGTGTGTGTGTGTGTGTGTGTGTGTGTGTGTGTGTGAGTGAGTGAGTGAGTGAGTGAGTGAGTGAGTGAGTGAGTGAGTGAGTGAGTGAGTGAGTGAGTGAGTGAGTGAGTGAGTGAGTGAGTGAGTGAGTGAGTGAGTGAGTGAGTGAGTGAGTGAGTGAGTGAGTGAGTGAGTGAGTGAGTGAGTGAGTGAGTGAGTGAGTGAGTGAGTGAGTGAGTGAGTGAGTGAGTGAGTGAGTGAGTGAGTGAGTGAGTGAGTGAGTGAGTGAGTGAGTGAGTGAGTGAGTGAGTGAGTGAGTGAGTGAGTGAGTGAGTGAGTGAGTGAGTGAGTGAGTGAGTGAGTGAGTGAGTGAGTGAGTGAGTGAGTGAGTGAGTGAGTGAGTGAGTGAGTGAGTGAGTGAGTGAGTGAGTGAGTGAGTGAGTGAGTGAGTGAGTGAGTGAGTGAGTGAGTGAGTGAGTGAGTGAGTGAGTGAGTGAGTGAGTGAGTGAGTGAGTGAGTGAGTGAGTGAGTGAGTGAGTGAGTGAGTGAGTGAGTGAGTGAGTGAGTGAGTGAGTGAGTGAGTGAGTGAGTGAGTGAGTGAGTGAGTGAGTGAGTGAGTGAGTGAGTGAGTGAGTGAGTGAGTGAGTGAGTGAGTGAGTGAGTGAGTGAGTGAGTGAGTGAGTGAGTGAGTGAGTGAGTGAGTGAGTGAGTGAGTGAGTGAGTGAGTGAGTGAGTGAGTGAGTGAGTGAGTGAGTGAGTGAGTGAGTGAGTGAGTGAGTGAGTGAGTGAGTGAGTGAGTGAGTGAGTGAGTGAGTGAGTGAGTGAGTGAGTGAGTGAGTGAGTGAGTGAGTGAGTGAGTGAGTGAGTGAGTGAGTGAGTGAGTGAGTGAGTGAGTGAGTGAGTGAGTGAGTGAGTGAGTGAGTGAGTGAGTGAGTGAGTGAGTGAGTGAGTGAGTGAGTGAGTGAGTGAGTGAGTGAGTGAGTGAGTGAGTGAGTGAGTGAGTGAGTGAGTGAGTGAGTGAGTGAGTGAGTGAGTGAGTGAGTGAGTGAGTGAGTGAGTGAGTGAGTGAGTGAGTGAGTGAGTGAGTGAGTGAGTGAGGGAGTGAGTGTGTGTGTGTGTGTGTGTGAGTGAGTGATCGTTCTTGTATAAGCGCGTCTGTTGAACGCGACACATCACCGTGACAACCAGAGGCGGGAATCACCGAATCACGGAGATGCTGGCCGGTGTCGGTGCGCGTCGGAGCGCCTGGGCCTCAAGGACATGGAGAAATGAGGAGAAATGACGGACGGCGCCTGAAGACGAGCGCGTCAAGGACGAACGGAGCGTCAATTCAAGGGCGTTCGAACGCGATGAGGAGCCGTCGGAGGGCGGCGGGGCGAGGCGTCCTCCGGAGGAAGCGTAAAGAAGAATCTGTCGCGCTGAGGTCAAACCGACTCTGAGCTCGTTCTGACCGATCAGAGAGCGAACAGACGCAGCTGTATTTTCAGCATCATTACTCCAGTCTTCAGTGTCACATGATCTTCAGAAATCATTCTAATATTCTGCTCGAGAAACATTTATGATTATTGGCAATGTTGGAAACAGTTGTGCTGCACAATATTTCTGTGGAAACTGTGATACATTTTATTTTTCAGAATTCACAGATGAATAGAAAGCTCAAAAGAATAGCATTTATTTAAAATAGAAATATTTTGTAAGTTATAAATTATATTTATATTATAAATTATACAAATTATTATAAAAGTTACTGTCACTTTTGATCAATTTAATGCATCCTTGATGAATAAAAGTATAAAAAATTATAGTGACCCCAAACTTTCACTCACTGTCAGCAAAAAGTTTCTCCCAAATGTTAATCTGAGCTCAAGAATTACTCGCTAATATTTCAGTGAAGCTGAGATGCACTTGTTGTTGATATCAGACATAGTTTCTCAAATGATGAATATTCTGTTATTAAGCTGCATGTAAGCGGTTTTAGTGCAGCGGGTGATTGACAGGTGAGCAGGCGTGTGTCCAGTGATGCTTCTGACTGACTCTGAGTGTGTTTCAGTGATCAGATCAGTGTTTTGTACGTGATTCACATCTGTCTGTCTCTGAACAGATGTTTATACCAGCTGGAAACAGATGGAGAGACAGAGAGCAGACTAAATTAATCAGACAGTCAGATATTCAGGTTTATACTTGAGATTAGATGTAGTGTGTTGACTTACAGGCTGAAGCTGCTGATCTTTTCTTTGATTTGGACCCAAACTGTAGAGTGAGGTGATTGTCTGCTTATGGACCCCTGCTGCCTGGCCCTTCTGTAATCCAGTCAAACCTGCCACTCTAAATATAGCTGCAGTTTCCCGCTGGAGAATTCACACAGACACACACTGAGCACTGGCTCTCAGACAACAGATAACATCCACTGGATCCCGGGGGTCGCTAAGGCATTGGTTGGTGGTTGCTAAGGTGTTGCTAGGTGGTTGCTAGGGAGGTCACACACGTGTGCTGCAGGTGTGATTAATGTTGCGTGATCTGGCAGAGCGACATCTGAATATGCATATGAGCACAATTAGTCTGTCTGCTGTCAGAAATGAGCATGGATCAAATATTCATAATGTGATGCATAATTCATCCAATGTATGCATAATGCATAATTCAATCAGCTACCATTTCAATTACGTTAAACTGGAACTATGAATAACTAAATGAGGCAGAAAAAGTCAGTCAGACGGTTCAAACTCGCTCCTGACCGTCTGCTGGAGATTATGAGCAGATTATTACTGATCGCTGATTGAACGCACACACGTGATGTGTGTGACTGTGTGAGTGTGTGTGAGTGCATAGGAGTGTGTGTGTGTGTGTGTGTGTGAGAGAAAGATGCAAACTCATTGCCGCACTGAGTGCATCTTAAATCACATCACATCACACTGACATTAAACTCAGGCAGGTGT